CAGTAAGAATGAGAATGCCATCGCACTGCCCCATGGGAAGGCCCAGTCTGACTAATGTAAGCACACTACAGTGGGGCGGCTGGTCTTAATTACGGTAACAGACGCTGAGGGGGGTGCACTGCTACCCACCAATGAGCAAGTAGCTTAGCACCGCCAGGGCCAATAATTAGCACATGGGTAACCCCCCACCACCACCACACATTCATACTGTCACTCTCATAACCTACATCAAACACAAACATTTAAAGGCAAACAAAGACACACAGGGCATTTAAATAGTGAAAAAGCCATTCATGGTCCTGCATGTGGTTTTACAGCATCATGTGTGTCATTTCCTTTCATTAATATTTATGTCTGTCTATAAGAAGTCATCTCAAAAAAATCTCCCAAACAAAAAAAAACGAATGTAGTTGCCTTGTGGTTGGTTAGGAAAATGACTTTTCACAGTCCCTAAAGCAAAAAATGAATATATATATCTACACATCTATCTATATATGCATATATCTATATACATAAATACGTGTGTGTGAGTTTATATATATATAGATATATACACACACATATATAAGACAGATCTGTGCCACATGCAGGCTCTGTGACTCAGCCAATGTCAGAGCCAATTCCAGTTTTATTGAAATGATTTCAAATGGTTGGAATCCCTATTAAATATCTCCTCCGTGTGTCAGGGCAGGGAGAATATGATTTAGTGGCTGTTTTTGCCCCTGCTCGCTGTGTGTCACCGGCCCTTACTGTGGTATGCATGGCCTTCCTCTGCACGGGGCTATGAAAGCAATTGTGATTGTGATTCCGTAGTCAGCAAAACGCTTGAATGGCCCCGAGTTAGCATGCGCAGACACACACACACACAAACGCCATACTGGGCCACTGATTACTTCAACCCATTTGACTCTCACTCATCCTTTGATTCTCCCTTTCTGCCTCTCTGTCACATGCCACAGAGTTTGTCATTAGCTAATAGCGACAACACAGCTCAACATAAACATAATACTACAGCCTGTGTTACAGGGAGTGCTTAATTTGACAGCCAAATTTAAGTACTATAAAAAAAATAATAAAAATAACCCTTGTGCAATTATCCAAAACTAACAATAAATATATTTGTGTTTCTTCAATAGCTCGTTTCACTTGAGGATCAGTTCATGGAAGCTGACTGAATATATTAATGCAAAGTAATCAAACCTTTGCACGGCATACACAAGTCAGTCCTGTAATAAGAAATAAAACCAAGATAAGGCATTCAAATGGAGCGCATCATTCCTCAGCTTATCTGAGGCAGAAGAGACCACCAACTAACAAAGCCAGCTCTTCAGTCATGCCCTATCTAAGCAGATATCAGTTGTTGGGAGGATATATGAGCTGGGTGGGACCTGGGTGTATAAACACAGGCCCTACTCTCCCTGGACTCTATGCTACTGCTATACTGTCGGCAGCACCTCACCTCACCTCAGCAGCATCAGCAGCAGCAGCAGCAGCAGCAGCAGCAGTCGGCACTGTTTGAATAAGGTATTCAAATAAAGGAGCATACACTGTGTTCCCATTTCACATAGCAAACTAAAAGTCCCTGACAAACAAACTGCCACAGAACAATTACAGGTACACGTGTTGCATAAGACAAGATGCATCTTTTACACTTTCAATGGTTTTTTCAACACATAAAGTGAAAATGTGTACAGTAATTGCACAGTATATATGAGTAATATATGTACCACGCAGCCTGTAAGGCAGCAGACAACATTATAACATGACACACTTTAATATTACCATCAGAGCACAAAGCTGTTATAATGGTATTGTTCTGTAATTTCTCCTCGACTGTGGGAGAACGCCACAGTAATAAAAGACACACATACACTCACAGTGAAATAAAGTGAGTATTGAAAGTACTGAAGTAGACATCTTCAGGGTTATTTATGGATCTCTCTGAATCATCTCAATCTGCACTTGAACTACCGTCTCTGCTCATTTTATGGACCTCTTTCTTTGCTTTCTTCACCCTTTTTCTGCTTTACAGTATTGAACTCTCAGTGATTACAGTCTAAGAACAAATTTGGCCAGCGGAATGATTCATGGTATTTAAGCACGAGTCGGTGATAAATGTTGGGAAAAAGCTTCACATTTCCTCCTCGCAAGACGTTTTTTGGTGAGCATGGACAACACTGCTTAAGCAACGGAAATTATTCACAAAGTGGATGGTGATCACAGTTATTATCAGCACATTGAATAAGGTGAAAGAAAGAATACATCCCAAAGCCATGCGCACACATCAGCTATTATGAACGAAACGAGCTGCGTCTCCAAATGAGCAGTGACAAAGGCTGAAAGCATGACAGCAGCACACATGTTCCCTGGAACTCACATAAACTTGTTAATTACTCAAACTAGGCTTGTGTCCACTGCACAGCATCCAGAGTGAGCCAGTAGCGCACAAAACAGGTTTGCAAATAAACAGAGTATAAAGCTAAAATACCAGCACATGCTCATTTTATCAAATTAAGCTTGTGTGTGACTCAGATTAACACTGTAAATTTCACAGTGATAAAAGAAGAGATGTTTTCTCAGGCTGTAAATTGCTTTTTTTTTTAACTGGAGCAGCCAGAAAGGAATAATTGTGCTAAATCTCAATATGGTTGCCAAATTGCAACCATCTTACCAAAAGCTTATTTTTGTTCAAATTTTTTTGACTCTTTTCCAGTAATATTATCCCAAAAGAATATTCTCAATCTAAACTAGAAGCCAAAAAATCTACCAACAAATTCGGCTAAGAACCAAAAATATCCACATAAATATGCAAAGTAAGCCCATAAAACAATTGACCTTAATGCTATGATTAGCCTTTTGCCTCCACGCTGCTTCAGAAAGTGACCTGGACAGAATTTGAAATTGGCCAACCCGGGCTGTCAGAGATGATTAGCAGCAGGCAGATCTGATCCACAGATACAGTAGCTACATAACAAATCAGATGTCTCTTTAATGCCACAGCCAGTTTGACAAGCGTTTGAGGAGAGGAACTTGACCTCGTGCACTGTGTTAACAGGACACCAAATGATCCCTGCTGCTCCCAGCCTCATTTGCATTGCTAGTGAAGGTAGTTAGTGTTACACATGTGATGATAGCAAATTACACCTCCCCTTGTGGAAAGAACCCCCCCCCCCCCCCNNAACCCCCCCCCCCACCCCCATTCCCTCAAGCAAAAGAAGTAGGGGGGAGTTCAATAATTCAAATGAACACTTGTAATTTTGAGGGGCGCCACACTTTTGTATCACTGACAGTAGTTGGTGTCGCTTTCTCCCTTATGAAAGCACTTTACATCACTTAATATCTAGTGGCTTTGTTTCCAGGATTCACGCAGTGTGTGGATATCAGCATATTCTTGGGATTATCCGCATGAAGGGTGATCCTAATTCGCATGACCTACAAAAAAGATAGCCTGTGCCAGGAAGACAGTTATATGGGCCCATTTGTGTGTCACAGGTGTAAACCGGCCTTTACAATAAATGTTTTATATTGACCTTATTCCATCTGTGATCGAATCGGAGGTTGCAGAAATAAAAAACTGCGTCCTGATTTTTTTTTTTTTTCTGTCTATCCATCTCGAACAAGCTTTGTGCTGCCAAACCTGAGCAAAGATTAGCGTAGCACCATTTTTTAAAAGATCTAAACTGGGATGGTGATGTTTTCAGTTGATTACTGGAATGTTCCGTTCAGTTACACAGATTTTCCATTTGCCCACACAGTGAAAGACAAACATCCCCAACTGTGTAACATTCCCCTCACTGTCATACCTGAAAGCCATCTTTATCTGAGAGACCAAGCCAAAAGAACTCCAAACCATCTTTATCTCCCAACAACTTCATCTATAGCAGCAGCAGGTCAACACCAGAGCCTGTTGATTTGTAATATTCCCACCACGGTAAGTGACAACAACAAAATCTAATTCTGTGGTTGCAGATGGCTCAGATGCTAACACTAGTGGCAGTCTGTTAATTAAACAGTTTAAAATAGTTTTCCTAGTATTTCCACTGGGTATATCTTGTGTTTGCGGTACTTATTAGTACTTTTGCTGTTAGCTTATCTTACTTTGTGGTATTTTTTTTGTTCCTATGCCAGTCTTTCAATTTAATGCACCTTTAGTGTTGCCCTATCCTTCCCTTTTTCATAACAGGATTACTAAGCATGGCTTGTTTTTCGCAGAGGATGATGGGTTTTTCTTTTTTTTTTCTAGTAAAATGTCAAACTACAAAATATGAATAATGTTGTTTTAAATGCCACCTGCGCACTTGCAATGGAGTCAGTGCAGGTCACAAGCCAAAAGCCGCGGGGTGTCAACACGGAGAGAGAGAAAAGAGTGATACTTGTACCAGCCAGACCCTGTGGTTTCTCCTTACAAAGTAATTAACAGTACATTACTGGCACACATCCATTTAATCGTTGAACTCCCAGCGGAAAACCATGTAAGCTATAAGAAATCATTGAGAGGGAAGATAATGTTGGAGCAGAGAGCAGAGTGGGGCAGTATGGATTCTATACAGCCCCTGGTATTTCACATCGGGTGGGACACTTAATGCCAGCTTTACTACACAACTGCACAGTCTCACCGGGGAAATAACATGATAATAACCATGTTGGTTAAAGGAAAAAAAGTTGGGACTACACATTTTCTTTCAACAGCAAAAAAAGAAAAAAGAATGATTGCAGGTCTCAGTCTAAAGTAACAGTAAACACTAATTCTATGTCCTGTTCCAGTCTAAGTTAAAACCAGTCCATCCTTCATCAGGTCACTTTACTTGCTGACACTTGACATTTTATTTATATATTTTTTTTGTTTTGTTTAAAGAGTGTGTAGTGCGCCCGTGGATAAAACGCGTCCAAAGCGTGTGTTTGGCATTGCGTGAATGTTGCAGGCAGTGTTGGCTTCATATAGAAAGACAGGTGAGACATTAAGCATTTCAATGCACGAGGCTACACAGTTTGTTATTTACCTTGTTCGAGTGGTAATAGTCCAACGAGCTCAGACAACTTGGATCAGTCGGTAGGGAGCATGAACCCACATTTGCCGGGGGCGCAGGATAAAATCTCACGTCCATCTCAGGTTGTGCGAGACTGAAGGCATGAAATCACTTTCAGCGTCTTTGACTCACTATTGTCTCAGCAAACACAACGCCGAAGCAGGAGACACACACACACGCGCGCGCACACACACACACACACACAAAAAGAAGTGGGGGAGTTTTACTCGGTACACTCTTCCCTCACATCCGTTCGCGGCCGAACTTCGGCACCAACTCTGGTGATGCGCAGTCCTCCTCAGAGCCCCGCACCAGGATGCGAAACACTCACTCACTCAAAACGCAGAGTACGAATTTCATGGATACACACGTGTTGGCAAACTATCCCGTTGTTCCAGAACAAATAAAAGCAGACCTCCAACTTAGATCCTCTCTTTTTAAAACCTTTTTTTTTTAACGGCTGAACACCAGCGCGTAAATTTGCAGCCTCTTGTTTTCCCCCACTGCTCTCAGGACTCCACACAGGCTTTGTTATGGAGGTGCATATTCTTGCATTGGTTCCAGTACAGAAGTGGTTGGACTTCCCTCTGCCATGCGACCTCTGCCGATAATAAACGGGAAAGAGGAACGGAGGGAGAAGGGGGAGGGGAGATTGGTGGCTGCCTTGGCAACCGCTCTCCTTTCTGCAACTGCGCGCTTCTGATTAGCTGGAAATGTAGTAGTGTGCACGGCTGTGCATTATAAAGCGCACTCTGCTTCCATCAGTGTGCTTCATAAAGGCTTCCATTTGGGTTATTGTGCCAAGGCGGATGGGAGAAGGTTGCACAGAGTCTCTCTGTAGTTAGACCATGTTTTTATGTATTTTTATTTTTAATTTGCATGGCCACAACCTGAACCTGTTGTGTTTAATGCCGACATCACCTGACTTTATAAAAACCTATCACAGTCTGTAGCCTGAAGCAGTGAGCAAAATTAACTTGGTTAGGCCACTCATTTTACCATAATGCCTATGAATAGGTTAAAGCAAAGGGACACAACTCTGAGAGATATTTTTATTCTTATAAAGTCATGTTTTGAATAGAAATGATTCTGTGTTAGGCTATTAATGGTTTTTTTTTTGTTTAATGTGAAGTTAATTTCAACAACAATAAAGTTGTTTTTGTGGTCTAGTTCTGCTTGAATTTTAAGTTTTAATGTTTGTTTTTTTTTCATTTAAGAACATTTAAAAAAAAAATTAAAGCTCTTAAAGTAACTACACCCAACAATGTAGGAAGCATAGTTCTAACTGTGGCCACTTTCAAAAGTGTATAAAATATAGTATGCTCCTTGTGGAATATGTACGCAGAGGTTTAATCTTGTATTGCCATGCAGTTGCAAATGTGTGTGGAGAGAAGCCGGGGCTGTGAGAGCTGCCTCTGACAGCTCACTGAATGTGATGGATAGCACACCCTTGCCCTGTGATGTGCATGCACATTTGATGTTGAAATGGCCTATCCATGGGACCATTGTCTTTCAATCATGTCAAGGCAAAGTACAGAACAGAGCACATTTTCTGCTGCCTGGCGTTATTACTATGCCACAGTTTACAGCACAATCCACAGACCCTGCCTACACAGAAATGTTCTTTATTCGCCCGATGCTGTTGTGTTTAAAGACACCTAATTTGATCTGTTTTTAGGATGGATCGGCATTAAAGTGGCGATAATATATCCTTTTTATCACTCCTTAACAGTACCGCAGACAGGCTTTCATTAGGTGAACCTGGATGTGAATAAAGGGGCATGTAACACCGAGAAGGGTACAATTGTTTTTACACAAACCACGACAGCAGCATCTGCCCACTGCTGCAGCTTGTATGTTCCCAACCTTCAGAAATTGTAAAAAGCTGGTCATTATTTCAGCAGGTCTATTATGTTACAGTGCAACCTCTTTATTCTACAGCGCAGGCCTTCGCTGGTAGGCACAGCCTGCCACTCTCGCAGGCCCAGCACACAGAGGGTTAACCACATGGCTCAGTGCCATGGCTTCATGGGAATGGAATGTGGAGTGCTGTGTGTGCAGGGCTCCTTTCCCAGCATCCCTCACTGCCCAGGCGCATGCTAATGATCAGTATTATTGAAGCACAATTGATGGGCTAGCAACCAAACAAGAGAAACTAATTACTACTAAGGCTTTATTGTCCTTTAATTACTGAAGCTCTATGGCAATTAGTGCTGCACAAAGACACAGCCCTACTTTAATCTCAAATAAAATGTGATGCAGATGAAAAAATTTGGAAGATGAAAGGTAGATAAGATAATTTGGCTGTCGGTTCATCCTGCAGAAATGATGACTGATTTGAGTAAAGCGTGGGCGAACAAAAGAAATGCTGAGGGTTGTGCTAGTTTAAACTGAAAATCATCTCAAAACAGAATCGGCACATGATATTTCTGTGACCTTGGATAGCTGAATTAAAAAATTAAAAGTGAATGCTGAACATCTCTTTCCCAAAGTTACAGCAGAAAAGAGTAAACCCGTTTTGTGATGTCATTAAATGCTACTTTTACGTTAAAGAACAGAAACTTGGCAGATTGTTTTACACTCACATGAAGTTTCTTTCATACCACAGAGCAGAGTGCAGGTATGGACAGGGGAAGTGACAACTACTGTAAAGCTTATGTAGTGGCTGTAGTAGTACATTGTTTAGTTTATGTTGTCGTACATCGAATGTTTCTCAAGGAAACATTACTGTTATTTTTGACCAAATAAAGTCATGATCTAAGGTTGAATGCAAAGTGAAAATTTGCCATCTGTATTTTGGTGATTACTTTGGTGATTTAATTCTATCAGGTTCTTTTCTGTGGAGCAGTCATATCTTTCATACTGAGAATTAAGCACAATTTCACATTATTAGAGTCCTGTTGCTTTGAGCAGTGGCTGAAGGCATTCAGTACAAACTTTTCACAGCTTTGAAAGTATCACAGCCTTTTTTAAACATCATTAGTCCTGATTTATGCATCATTAAAGCGGTTTCAAAACATTTAGTAAAGTAACTGTACAACATAGCTTAAAGTTACATGTGTCCATGTAGAGTAAGCCTCTTTGCATTTGTGCTGTAATATTTTTCTAATACTGAGACTCAACTGCCTCACATAGCAAACAAAAGAAAGAAATTGCATAATATCTCAGTGCAGCAGAAAGTTTTATGAGTGTAAACGTTGGTGTTACAGATATGCAAAAGGAATGTGTTATTTTATTTTCTTGACAGATTTGTGATGAAGTTGTGCCAAGTTTATTTATATTATCAGATTACAAGTGTCTGGCTGCCAGCTGTAAGTGAACAGGCATACACCTTATTTAAAATAAAATAAAGTTTTTATTTGGACTTATATTTTGCATATAATTATGATTGCAGATATTTTTATTTACATTACCCCATGTCAGATAAGATAAGTAAATTACCCTACAGCATGTTTTACACAATTAAGAGGATGTTAGAAAATTAAATATATTGTTGGATATGTTTACAGTATAACAAGAGATGACTTGCTTTGTCCTCACTCACCATTTTCATACACAGAAATTCTCTGAAATTCTGCCAGACCAATTTTTGTCCCTGATGTACAACATGACACACCCACAGAAGTGCAGTACATGTTGTACTATTTAGCATTTAGCACAATCAGATCTGTTCATGCAAACTATAATGCATAAGGGCAGCTAAACCAAGGATGAATGATAAGTCTTTCATTTTTATGAATATACGTTACAATATAAAGAGACAGCGCTACATTTGATTTTTAAAATATATTTGTTGTTGTTCATTGTTCAAGTCATTAGCATAAAAAAGACAAAATCACGTGATTTTATTTTTGAAATTTTAATTAATCAATTCATATACAGGTGTATAAAAATGTCTCAAAGAGTGTGTCCCAGTGAGTTCTGTTAATTACCAATAATAATTACTAATAATTAAACTAATAATTAAACACACCCTAGCTGTCAGTTGTACCTGTAGCTGTCTGGTAGTAACAACCTGTACAATAAGTCTGCAGGGCATTTGGAAATAAATTTGTCTCTGGGCTAAGAGATAAATGTTAAAGATTGTTCTTTGACTCAGAATCAATATTAATTCAATGAAAATCAGTGGACCTGTCTCATTACTCCCCTTTGAATGTACTTAAGTTGTAAGAATATAACATTTTGACTTGCTTCTAGTGCAATAAGTTAAAATAGTTGTTTTAGGATGTGGGCAAAATGGAGTGCACATGAAGACAGCTTATTACTTCCAAAAAGAGTGATTTTAATTCTTACAATCACCTGAGGGCATTTTTCTGGCCAAGCTGGCTGACCTTTGACCCCTGTGCCAGGTCGTACTGACCTTGCTTGTTTCAGGAGGGCATGGGAACCAGCAGTGTGTCTTGAATGTGTCAACAATCTGGTACAAGAGCACAAACAGAAGTTAAGATAATGATTCTGGGATCATTCATTTACTTGACAACAAGACAATGCAATTTTCCATCTCTCGTAAATGTTGTTTTAACTGTGGTAATACAGAGTGAAACATAAACCAGTCTCTTCTTCCTTCTGGATTCCTATATGTAGCGATCCTATAATGTCCTCAATGCAGCTCTGCAGACAAGGAGGTCATGGCCTAGTTTCCCCAGAGGTCAGCTCCCATACACAGTGTTGCAGGATTTTAAGCCTCTGACATGTGAGCCACCAAAAGATTATGTCCATGTGTGGTTTTTCTTGATTTATTCCATACATGGAAAATGTTGACTCCCTTACAGAACTCAGATACAGTACGGTACGCTTGTAAATCTGAGCTTGCTGTGAGAAAAAATGCTGGGAAATTATTTGACTGACATCATGTCCTCATTGTGTCATCCACCTTGCAAATCACCCTGAAGCATAATTAAGGAAAATCACCACAGGGCTTACATGCATTGACTCTTGATTTGGTAAAAAGAGACGTGTATACCTTTCCCCTCTGCATGGAGTGCTGCAGGAAGACAGAGAAGCTCAGTGAAAAAGAGAGCAGACTTGTCAGTCTGACCACGTTTCATTTAGCACTTCATTTCAAGGAAATTCTAGAGACTCTTCTAATTGCCTATAGCATTTCAGCTCTCATTTGGGGAAGAATGTATTGCAGTCTGCAGGAGCTTAGCTCAGTGTTTTCATATCATTAAAAAGGCCAACATTTGCACATGGTGATAATGTCAAGTGAGTTAAAGTTTCATACTTTTGAACATTGTCTAAAAAACAGAGAGAATGTGTGTGTTGTTTTGATTTCCAGTGTTTGGTATGTATAATCAAAACAAGTTGGTGACATTTGCTCTTTTTTTTTGTCTTTGCATTTTGGACACAATTTATCTCCTGCATATGACTGAGTGCGTGTTTTGTGCACATGTCAGAAAACAGGGCCTATTCTTATTTCTACTCAACGAGACACATGGCATCATTTGCCAGAGAAAATTGTTTGTCATTCAAGCGGAGGGATTGTGAGTCATTCCTATATAAAGATATTCAAGCATCCAATCATGGTCCTTTTCAGATGAGCAATTAGGATTCTTTTTGAGTAGCTCAAATTATAGATGTTTTTACCGAGGGGGGGAA